CAGGAGGAGGGGGTCCGTGACCCACCCTGCACACGTGGATTCTCACTAGTGGACTTCCAACCTGTCCAGCCACTGAGCGGGGCAGGATGGGGCCATTGGTGCTGGCTCCGTCTGTGTGCGTGCCCTGAGTGCCTGGCTGTGATCTGCCATGTATATGGACCTATGTATATGTATATGTACCTATGTATATGTATCTATGTATATGTAGATACAGCTATGTATATGCACCTATGTATATGTATGTGCACATACGTATATGTATATGTACCTATGTATATTTATATGCATCTATGTATACATATATGTACCTAGGTATATGTATATGCATCTATGTATATGTATATGTACCTATGTATATGCACCTATGTATATGTATATGCACCTATGTATATGTATATGTACCTATGTATATGCACTGTATGCTCTGCATGTGCCGGCCGAGGGCACAGGGCTGCAGCAGCCTCCCCCTCTCTCCGGCTGCCGGACCCAGCACGGTACATTCTCCTCTAGCAGGTAGGACTGTGCCAAGTGCTTAAAGACATAAAGCGGGTGCTAGAACTAGCGACAGCGACCTACGAATTGGGATTCTAAAATAATCATTATTTGCTGCTTTGATTCTTTCGCGCTGTGGTCGTCGAGGCCATGCACAGACCAGGCTTTTCTGGGCAATTTGGAGAAGCCAGAGAGGACTCCATACCTGACAGCGACAGTCACACGACTGCTGGAGTTGGAGGTTTAGTACAAGTTGATTATCGTTAATTTCCCAATTAGCTAATGAGTGATAACGATGCTAGTGCCCTTTCAATGCCAGCAGCATTGGTAAGAGCCAGGCTGGGCGGTCGCTCTGGTGCCAGCTGAGCCCGAGTGACCAGAAGGGCTCAGCCCACATAACTACAGCCAGAGTTTCCCTCCTGTTTGAGCACGGGGATGATTTGGCAGCACCCCAAAGCACCCAGCCTTTGGGTGCTGTGCACCTCTCAAAACTGGCACCCGCAGAGTGCTCGCAAGCCCATCCCTTGATCGGGCTGGATTCAACGGGAGTTGCTTCTAACACCTCCAGGAGCACAAATGGGCACTGAAGTCCCAGAGCGTGTTATTCCAGCCCAGCCGAAACCGTCAGGAGTGCCCCCGCCAAGGCTGGAGGGGCAGGTTTAATGCCTCCTTTGATACACAGCAGGAGCATTCATAGAAAGCGAGGAACATTTATCAGACACCTGAAGCGCACGCCTCTGGGCGGCTGATGGGAGCCAGCTGCCAATGTTTGTGCTCGTGCCCTTGCCGGGGGAGCAGAGAGGGGTTTCCGCCGCTGCAAGGAGTGCTGCGTAAGCTGCGAGGAAGCGCGTTTGGAGCGGGGCTGCTGGGCTCTGGCCTGTGTCACTCGGGTGCGATGGGGCATGCCAGCGAGTCCGTGCTGGACCGTGGATAAATGGCCAAAGGAAGCTCAGCACGGGCTGGTTCCTGAGCCCCGGCGGGCAGAGAGCAGCTCTCCGCAGGCGTTGCACCAGGCTGACTCCATTAGTCCGGGCAGCAAGAGAAATCCCAAACCAAGAATGAATTTTCTCTGTAGCAGCTGGGCTGCTTGGGCAGATCGCTGTACCCAGCATTCACATGCCTTGATCGCTCCTTTTCATTTTCCTGCGGGAAATAGCAGAAACAGCCCTCCTCCTGTGCCATGTGTCGCCAGGGAGCTCACGATTTCCCTGTGCAGCTGGGAACATCTCTTAGCAGTGCCAGGCATCTCCCCCCCCGCCCCCAGCATGGCCCTCGGGTACCCGTGCTGCGGTAGATGGGAGATGCACGGCCCTTGGGAGATGCACAGCCCTCGAGAGAAGCCTCTCGCAGATGGAGCGATACCGGCCTGATCCGTGCTGCTGGCTGCATCGCCCCCCCGGGCGCCTTTGCTGTAAGAGGGCGCGGGGGCACAAGTGGCACAGGACCAGCAGCACCCACCAGCGCTGGGTCTGGTCCCCGTGTTCGTCGTCTTGCTGCTCGGCCAGGTGTCCAGTTCCACAGCCGCTCTCTAGATCTGATTTAAAACCCTGTGCACACGATTGCCGTTCACAAAATGGTATTTTGGTATTTTGACGGGGCTCTGCGATACACTAATTAGAAACAGTCACTTAAAATCCACATCTGAAACACATTGTGGAATTGAGGTTCAAGGAGTGCAGGTTTGCTACAGACACTGGATTCCTAAAGAACAATTTCCCACACCTAAATAATGATGTTTTCCATCATGTTACATCCATTAGCTATAGCTTGGCAGTTGCATCCATCATAATATGCTATTTCGGGGAAATAAATGAGTGTATTTTTCTCTGTGAGAACCAAGGCAAAAATATCTCACTGCTGAAATATTGAGCAGGTTTATACAGCTAGACCAAGCACAGATTATTGCTCTAACACGTGGACTAGTCTGCTTTCTTACAGTCTTGTAACTTCAGAACTAACATTTTCATAGTTACTACTTATTAAGTTTGCTTTTAAACTATGCAATTAGCCTCCCAGCAATGTTATCAAACAATATCATGACTCTGCCGGAATCAGCCTGCCTGTATTTATAGCTGTTCCAAATCGCCGAGGCACTTCTTAGTCTCCTTGTCTTGGGAGGGTGTCTGCTTTCCCTTTGCTTTTTAAAAGCATTTTAATTGAATTTCCTAAGTCCTTCCCCACCATACACATGTGCCAGCAGGTCCCTGATTTTCTATTTCCAGAACGGGGACTCAGGTAGCGCATTTCAGAAAGAAGAGTGACACAGCTCCAGACCCATATGCCTTCCCTGGTCTCCGTGTGCCACTGATGGGAAGAACATTGACATTCCCGTCGTACTCCGTCAGCGTCATTTCTGCTTTGCGTCGGAGCGGGATGTGCTGCTCCGGTGGGATGAGCCAAGGAGGAGGAGCGGAGGAGCGTTTCACTGTGCCCTGAGCAGCAACCCCTCACGTGTGGTCCCCGGCTGTCCCCGGGTGCCTGTCCTCTCTCATTTTTCCATCTGTAAACTGGAAATGAATGTGGTTCATCGTCCATCTCATGAGGATTTACAAGTAGTTTGCGGGGCTCGCAGAGCGCAGGTAAAAGCTGCATTTTGCAGTCTGAGGGGCCTCACCCAGCACCTCTGAGGTTGGCAGGACTTGAAGCAGATTTACCACCCCCTGGGAGAAGGAGATGGCCCATCTGGGGTTGATTTAAAATCGGCCCAGGCTGCAGTTTAACTGCATCCATGAGGCTGCTGATGCAAAACCGCTCCTCGCCTGGGAGGAGGAAGAGAGGGGAAACAGCAGCCGCCAGATGCTCCCTGCATCCCCGCGGTGCTGCCCGGCCCCTCCGAACCCTCCAAGAAACGGCGCATCGTCTGCTGGGGTGCAACCGGCTCCTGGGTTAGGTGGGCGGTACTGCATGGGAGCGAGCAATCAAATATACCACTTCTTCCCTGCTCTGGCCATGGTATTTGCCTGCTGGGAATCCTTTCCCTGATAGACAGCGGGGAAAACAATACGTGGGGGATTGTAGCGGAGTGTCGCTCCACCTTGCTCTGGGACTGACACCCAGGCAACGTTGTGTGGGAAACGGGTGTGCCAGGGGATGGAGAACCCTGGGCCGGTTGATAAACATCACGCAAACAGCAGAGAGTTTGGAAAATGTGCCAGTTAGAGATTTTCAGTGATATAATCACAGGACATTTAAAAAGCTTGATTCTCAACGAGCCTAATCAAAGGGAAGTTCCTGAACCTCAGCTACAAAGGGAGACCCCATGCTGTAACAACACGAGCGCTAATCTCAGCGGTTTTAATAGAGTACAAGAGCAAAAAATGCTCCTGGGACAGTGACAGCAGATGCTGCACGGGGCGAGCAAGTGAGCAGCGGGGAGAGGCAGCCTCCAGAATCAGCACCTTCCACAGGAGATGGGAAACGCCAACGGGATCTTCTGCTCCCAACAGGGCTGCTCCCAGTCATTTCTAAAGTAATAAAATTGGTCTTTAGTCAACCACTGCAAAGTTGCATAAAGCATATTTGATGGATTACACCTATCAAAACTTTTAGCGAGAGGAACAGGTACAATGAACAAGCTGCATACGGGATTTTCTCTGCAATTTTTTCCTTGACATCATCCATAATTACCTGCCCTAAACATGCTGCTGCAGAGCACAGGCTTGTCCATCAAGAGGCAGCTCAGATCCAGAGCATCATAAATTCACTGTCATAAACTTTGCTGCCAGGGCACGGGAGAAGCGCTGTCGGGAGGGTACCTAGCATCTGCAGGGCTCTGCGTCCCTCCCCGTGCTCTTGGGGCTGAGGCCGGGGAGAGGAATCACCGCGGAGCTGTGCCACATGCACCGGCTGACAACGCCGGTACTTCCAGCTCTCCAGAAGAGCCATCCCACAATTACCTTATGTGAGCCTGGCAGTTCCCTCCGCTGGAGAGATACAAAGTTATTAAGCAAATATGATTAATGAATAAAAGAAGCTCTGGCACGCTGGAATGAGGCTCTGAGGCCTGCCGGGCTCCGGGAGGATTCGTCAGCTCACGCTTTGGGAACTGCGTCAGGTTTCTGCAGTAATATGATTAACATGGTGTGTAATGGGCTAAATCCATCCCAAGCGTCCCTCCGGTTAAGCCTCTGGACACCTGGCATGAATTTGGCCCTTTTACAGTGGATGCACTTGACAGAGCCATACGGCTATGCTGGAAGAAAAGAGGGTACCCAGCTACCCCTACAGCCGGGGAGGGGGTGGCAAAAAGGATGGAGAGGAGGGGTGGATCTGGAAGGGAGCAGAGGGATCCAGCCCAGCCCCTGCCCTTGCCACCCTCCCGGTGCGTGGGGACGGCTGCGGGGTCAGAGCAGGCGCGTGCTGAGCCCGTGTGCCTGCGCTGCCATGCCTTCCATCCCCATGGCCGGCTGCCACACCACGGCAGGACGGGGGACTTGGCCACACGCTCGTCTGCCGCGCGGCGTTGCTGTCCCCAGCTCCAGAAAACGTGGAGCTGCCAGACCTCGCCGGCTGGAGGGATGGGAAGGACGGGGAGCACTTCCTTCCTTATCCGCGGGGCCAGATTGCGAGCAGCTGCGGGCAGATAAAGAGCGATGGAGATGGGCTGGAGGAAGGCGTTTGCTTCCCCTGCAAAGCAAACTCCCTCTCCCTCTTCCCAGCGTGCTCTGGCAGCGGCCGGGCTGCCTTCTGGGCAGGGAATCTTCTCTGCCGCAGGGGTAAAAGCAAGAGGATGGATGATGTAAGACAGGAACTTGAGTGATTGACTTCAGTTTATCTTGTAGACTTCTGCTTTATCTCTCCCTGGGGGGGCTGCTGCTGCTTCCTACCTCCTCTGGCCCGGGGTGGGTGTCCCCTGCCGAGCAGCGGCGCGGCCGGGAGCATCCCAGCACAGGCTGCTCTGCAGTGGCCAGGCTCAGCTGTGGGTTCTGCTCCGGTGTTGCAGTGCTCTTGCGTGGGTAGGCTCCGTCCTGCTGTAGAGTCCTCTGTGGCATTGATTGCAATAGGGTATTTCTCACCCATTCCCATATACCTTCCATTTCAGCTAAGTTCCATGTTTTTGTGCTGTTTTAATAATTCCCAGCAAGTAACTTTGTTTTCCAGACTTGGATAGTTTCATAGAGCAGTTCATTGCAGTTCCTTCCAGTTTGCTTTAGTCTCATAATTACCGAGTGATCGCAAGGAATCGAGTCTTTAGAGGAACTGCCTAGAAAGGGATTAATCGCAACCAGACCTTGTTAAAATCCCGTTGCCACACCAATTCCCCACACTTACAGAACCTGACCGCAGTGTGAAAATTGATATTTATGCCGAGGAGTGTCAATGTGCTGCCTGTGCACCGTTCCCTGATTTACTGTCCTCCGGGGTTTGAACTCTGGGGCTGCAGTGAGACGCGCTGCTTGATTTCCAAGCCCCGAAAATGAAATAACTGCCCACCCGGGCCCTTCGGCACCAAATGCGATCAGCACATTAATGCCGCTAGATTCTGTGGATGATCAGCCTCCAGCTTTAAGTTAAGTCACTTGATTTCTTGCAGTCCAATTCCTGCAGACTTGTTGAACCGGATGAAAACAGTAGCGAACAGCCAGATTTTGTGATAGGCATTAAAAGCTTGCTGCTGGGCATGACTTAAATTCATTCCTCTTGGCCTGTGGTCTCCCTCTGTCCTGCCGGCTAACGGGGGACAGGCTCGGCACGCTGGTGACGGATTTCCAAGGTGGCTGAAACTGTTGGGGGAAGTTTTTCTGGAGGTGAGGCGACTCTCTGGGGCTGCTGGGGACCGGTCTCCTCCTCCCCGGGCAGCGCGTCCTGTGGCTGGTTGAGAGCTCCGTCCCGGAGGCCTGGGATGGGTTTCAGAGTTTGATGAAAATGATAAAAATCTCTCTTAGTTACCAGTATTATGGCACAACAAAATAGAAGATTTTGTGATATTCTCTACAGTGGAAAAACTCTGCGAAAAAGTGTCTGTTGGCTTCGAAAGTCGCTTGCTCCAATACTCTTAACAGATGGACGGCTGCGATGCGGCTGCTCTGCGCTTGCAACCCTTTAGCTCCCGTGGAGATGCAAACATTTTGTTAGGGAACAGCAAGTTCTCCTGCCTGAGATCATGGCCGTGTCCTCTGGGGCACGGAGGGGTGCAGGCAGGAGAGTGGGAGCCCGGTGCCCTGTGCCTGGTGGGGCGCAGCCTGCCCAGCCCCACGGGGTACCCAGGGCACCAGCATGATGTTACGCTCTGCGGCTCTTCCTCGGGATGCTGCTAAGGCCTGGGTGGAGCATCTCGCCAAAAAGGATGGCAAGGCACGTTCGCTGGAGCGGGGGCAATGTGTGCTAATAATTGTAATGATTCTGGCTTCACCAATAACGGTTCTGTTAACGTAGTCTCTGCAGCGAGGAAAGATGGGTTTATTTCTGTACCTCTCAGGAGAGAGGCTGGAGCTATTATAAAGTTATTAAGCTATTATTATATACAGGCTGAACGAAAAAGTCGAGTGTTATAAGGGCGTACGAAAGAGAAACCTCAGGGGTGCACAGCAGAAGTTAGGGGAAGCGATGGTGAGGCATTCGTAGCGGGGAGGGGGTGGTCTAGCTGTGGGACTGACCAGAACTAGAGAGGATAAACCGTAAGTCCCCATTGAGCTCTCAACAAGGTGTGTAAACCATTTTCTTCTGCCATACGGCTGATTTGTGAAGATTCCTACAGTGAGGTGAGCAAGAGAGCTGGCCTTGTGCTGAGGACGTCCTGCTCGCCAGATCTCTAAATGCTGATGTGCTCTGCGGCATGGAGCCGAACTCCAAAACTCAGGGGAAGAGCCCACCTGTGATTGCACTTGTTATGGGCCTCTGCAAACATGTTGTAGCCTGCGAAGCTTGTGTACCCGGTGCAAGCGAGTGTGCGATGCCTGTAAGGCTGTGGATGTTGTGTACCTGGACTTCAGCAAAGCCTTCGACACAGTCTCCCATAGCATTCTGCTGGAGAAGCTGGCAGTTCATGGCCTAGATGGATGTACTCTTCGCTGGGTTAAAAACTGGCTGGATGGCCGAGCCTGGAGAGTCGTGGTGAATGGAGCTAAATCCAGTTGGCGGCCGGTCACAAGCGGTGTCCCCCAGGGCTCAGTTCTAGGGCTAGTCTTGTTTAATATCTCTATCAATGACCTGGATGAGGGGATTGAGTGTTCCCTCAG